TTTAATTAACCGAATAAATGTGAAATTAAAATCAGTTGTTGTTATTGTTTTATCAATTGTGCATTTTCCTATTTCTATTCCTGAAAAAATATAACGTATTAATTATAAGGATATGGAAGAAATACCAATCCAGGTTTCTGCTAGAATTTCGACTTATGGCAGGTGTGTCAAGAAAGTCAACGAAGAGTCCTGAAATAGCTGGCAACCTGATCGATTTTTTGAAATAAAGATACGAGTAGATAATGTTACTTATTTTTCTCATAACCGTGCACTTTAGATAAAAAAATGTATACATAAAATATATAAAACCGTTGCATATGGAGATGTTTGTCCTCCAATAAAACTTCTTCAGTACTTGCCGGCTGTATACAGTACTCCGCATAAATATCAGGAAACTGAAAACACACTGGAAAGTGACACTGTGGAGTCTGTGGTGCGAATTTGAACTCAAAATGATGCTCCTAGACGGAATTATGAATTCTTTTTCGAAAAGGACCTCGCCCGTAAAATACCCGTGTTTCACTGACCGTCAGAGGTGCAACCGGTATCGGTATACCGGTACGAATTATAACGCCGACCGGTATACTGGCATTAGTATGAAGTATAGTCAGCCGGCCGATATTGCTGGTATTTTGCGGTATGATACGATTTTATTCGAAAAACATCGTGTCAATTCAGTTCATCTGTGACATATTTCATTTACTAAAATTTCATTCCAATTACTTAAGCTTTGTCAGCTTATATAAAGTTCTTAATTTAAAAGGTTGAATTGGATTGCTGTTTTCGCAAAAAAAAACGTGTAAAAAATCAGTAATACATAATCAAGGTGAAAAGTTTAATCTATCCCTTTGATAATATAAAGTAAAATTCACAGTAAAGAAAAACAAGGAAAAAGCATTTTTATTTCGGCAAAATATGATCAATACAAGCCGGTACCGACCGATAAACCGGTCACAGGTATATCAACTCGTACCGGTGCCGGTTCGGTGCCGGTACGAAGTTTGTATACCGGTGACCAGTACCGGTATCGTATTTTTGATACCGGTTACACCGTGACTGATCATTAACAGCTAACTCACAAAATTCATACTGTAGATAGGCTAGAGTCGATTAAAAGAGGATCGAAGATTTTGCAGCTTTACCCTTTAGCTGAAACAGTATTTCTTCCTTAAAATCGAACGTTGGCCTGAGTACACTGATGGCACCAGCCACGAGGAACCAAAGTCAGAACCAGAAATCCGAATCTGATTGACATGGATACGTGAAAGAGGCGTACACGGAAATCCTGCGCCGGATTCTTTCCGTGAATGACTTCCAGTACGCATGTAAATTCATTGCGTCTGAAAAGATAAAAATTTGTCAAAAGAGTCGTTTCGTGACGCGTTTAGAAGCGTCTAACACTTTTTAGTAAAGAGAATTTTGCACCATGGAGCAAAATGTAGTATGCTTTTTGATAATCTGCTTCGCCGCTGTTCGATTTGAGAACAGTATTTTTATATAGAATACGTATTTTATTATTATTTGTCCATGTAAAAGTACACCTTGTACTTTTGTACAAATCTTTCACTAATGTGCTCCGAATTTTGAGATCTTACATGTTTCTCGGTTGACGTGACTAAAATCCCTCCATAAAAAGTTATCTTTTCACATATTTATTATAGTTTAGTGGGAGATATAAAACATTACAACCAATTGAAAATGATCTTAGATTAGTAAAATCAATTAATTATAAAAACATTAGAATATTAGATCATGACGACATCCAAATTAATATTCATCGACGTCAAGGACTAGTGATAATGGACGCTAACAACAATAACGAAGAAATAAAATGTATGCCTGTTAGCTACAACAACAAACCAGTGTTGTCGCTAATTGTCGCTGCCTTTCTTATTTCTCTCTGGTCAGCTAGATAGTCACATTCCTTTCATTTTTGTGGCAATCAGGAATGAAATGGGTAGACAATTATCAAGAAAACATGTCAGCAATAGATGCCCTTACAACAGCAGCCGTGTCTTTCCGTCTTTCATCATCATGTGCATTAATTCTACTACTTGGAACAAATTCTATAAGAACAACTCCATATGATCAAATAATTCCACAAATCGAAACATTCATTGTCATCATTCGTACTCGTTTTCCAAACATAAAATCAATAGCTATCGTAAATTGTATTCCTTGTGCTAAACAGACCAACCGATTTCCTTTCGAAAATCTTCAATCAAACATCAGCAAGTATAATACTTCATTGAAATTGTTGAAAAAAATCTAAAAATGTTTTGCCTGATTCTATCAGAAGCATTACTCCACTTCCGCTTGCCATCGCTGGCCATACTCTATAAGTGGATATGTTTTGTTTCGATAATTCATCGATATTACCAAATTTAGAACTGATCAACTGAACAGTTCTAGAATGATAGTATTTCGAATATCTGAGTACACGTGTTTATTGGAACTGAAAGTATCACAGTTTCATCATGATAGCTGCACTGTAAACTTGAAAATAAGTTATAGAAAATAAAAAACGATTTTCAATTTGTCCATATATGAATTCACCAGTGATTTTCTACTTTCTTAAAAATGTGATTTTCAGGAATTTTACGTTTTTCATAAAACGGGTTTGCATTTTTCAGAACATCGCCAATTTTGCATAAAATCAACGACACTCTTTAAACTTCCAGCGAATTCGTATGTGACATAACTTTAATTAAAAAAAGTTACTTTTTCGGTCGCCATATTGGCCTCTTCCATATTTTTTCTCCTGGATGCTAGTTTTCAACGAATGCTGAAGTTAGCATCTACTGGATGCTAACTTCTTACAACGTATGCAAGAGCGAAAACAAGTAATTAGAGCTATTTAGCGCCAAATTCGCATTTAGCGTGCGCGCTCAAGCCTGTTTCTCTCGCATTTGGCGGAAAAAATGTAATTAAGATTTTTGTTCAGTGATTATGCAAGAAATTCCACGTTTTTGCATTATTTTTGAGCAAAGCAAGTGCCCTAGCATAATTTTAGGCATGTCGGCCATCTTGAATTTCTATTGATTAGCGTACGGAACGAATAAAATAAACGTACGTAGACACGAGCGCTCTATAAAATAAATTAGCACGCGGGCTAGGATCCCATATCCAATATGTCACATTGATAAAGTACAAAGCAAACAGCAAGCTCAGTTAGTTGAGTAGGTAAGTAGCTTGCTTTGTAATTTGTCTTTCTATTCACAGGTATGACGTTCGAATCTCGTCGACGATGCTGTTATATAATATACACTTCTTTCTAGTAAGTCAAGCTTTTCTCATATCGACGCACACTCTACTGGCTAATAGACAATGAAACCTTAGCTAGGAATTAAGAAGACGCGTAAAAAAACTTTTTAAAAGCATATTTTAAAAACAAAGATAAAACGCGTTTAAACGCTATCAAATGGTGCATTTTCGGAGCGATTAACCGCAGTATAAAACGCGTCCAGGATCGAAAAATATTTACATGCGTACTCGCCACAGAAGTTATTAACCATTACAAAAAATGAAAATATTGCGCTAGAGCTTTAGAACTGAATATAACACAATTTTTAACTTATTCCATGGCTTGTCTGAAACATTGGCTTCCGCCCTTGCTGCCACCTCTAGAGACCTTAACTCTGAAGACCCATCTTCAGAGCAAACAATTGATGATCTAGTGGAGATTTTTAGCACATGGGAAACAAAAATTATCACGCCGTACATAGAACCGGAAAAAGTTTTAAACCTAGAACCCCTCGGTAACCTCTCCATAGACCCAGCTCTAAAAACATATCGCAAACACTTAACTTCATGAACTGAAGGTCATGATGACTAATACGTGATTTAAATGAGCGATGTAACGAATTAAAAGGACCGATAACTAAACAGCAACAACCACGTAAAAAACAGATAGTGTACCTTATGGCTTACCACGGTCATAAATGGATGATATTACACACCCATAATTACCTGTGATGACGCGTGAGCGACATGACTAACCAAAAGGACCAGTAACCAGACAATCACCTAAAAAACACATAGTGTTCTTCTGGCTTATTACGTCATGAATCGATGCAGCACATTTGTCATGCATCATTAATTTTTTCCTCTGCTATATTCACTAACACAGTTTCATACTTCTTTTCCACTCATTCTATACTGAGTTATTAGTATTCAATTAAAGAACAGAAAGGTGGCCGACACCATCTGCTCAAAATATTAAAGTATGAAAAAACTATCATCTTCTAAGCGTTAACATATCATGAAAAAGTCTCGTTTCAGTCCTAGGGGTGTTAATTTAGTGTTACTTTGGAAACTAAAAGTAAATGAATCATTTATACTTCATCATTTTTACTCGTTTCAGTCCTACAATCTACCACACACTGTGAATATACATACCTTACCTTCTACGCTTATTGCAGTCATTCTGCAGACCATTTTATCGTTAAAACTACGGACCTTTTGATGGCAACTGCACGCTCCGCATCGCTATCATCGACCAATATCTATGAGATAATTCATATATTGCATAAATAGATAGGACAGACAAAATGTGTGCGCTTCTGGTTCCGTGAATGCAATAGGTGAATGTATTCATCCGAAGAGCGACTTTGAATTTGAACTTAGCATCGCCCCTACTGATAGCACACTAGTTCCGTCAACCGGACGATGGGCTCGTTTTTCACAGATTCTCAACAAACTCGATAGTCTTGGTGTAGAAGCACGTGGTATAGCACGTATTACGTCCGAGGAACGTACTGACTCGAAGCTGATTAATACAGCTATGATCTGGGTAAGAAAGTATTGTGTCACTCGCACAGATGATCTAATCACTAATCCTTCTAGATTGCTGCAAATACGGTCATTTCTTGCTTTGCCATTGGTACTCTTGGTCCTGCCGTATTCAATCTTGGTTTGTACGATTCATTTGCAACTGTTACCTTCTTCAACTTACTTGGTGCACTTCCTGTAGCTGCAATGGCCTGTGCTGGTCCTGCCTCAGGCTTAAGAACAATGGTTTTTTCCCGTTTTAGTTGGGGTTATTATGGAGCTAGTCTTGCTGCTTCTCTCAATTGTATTGCTGCCATAGGATGGTCCGCAGTCAATTGTATAACTGGTGGACAAACACTTCGAGTTGTCTCCAATAATACACTTCCAGTCGCTGTCGGTGTTATTATTATTGCCATTTGCACTTTAGTACTCTCATTTGCCGGTTATAAGTGGA